GTAAAACACGTGCTTGCCATAACAAAATTTCACGTTATCTATAGAGAACAACAGGAGTTGGTAGTAGATACCGTTTAATTTTCGTCTTTAAATAACACATTATTATGAAAACAAACAATTTTTTTTACGTTAACAGCATATTGCGTGTGATACCGTATAAAATAGTTTAGATTTTGATAAGAGATTTTATTACTTTTATTTCATCACACATTTTACAATTTTATTGTTTCGAATCAGATTTATTTTAATTTATAAAGAGAAAAATTCTGAATTTAAATTTTATTATTAATACGAAAAAAAACAAAATACAACCAAATGAAAAGAAACAAAATTCAACATATAGAATGGAATAGGTTATTTTCATGACCATACTATCATTTTGATCAGGGACACAACAACAAATTTTTATTATTCTTAGCATGATTAAGATAAAAACTAAGAAGTTTATGTATCATACACTGTTTTCAAAAACTAATCAATGTTTTATAATCTTCAACACGCATTTTTTTGACAAAACTAATGTTTCAGTAATTATTGAGACAACAATTTAAATTTCTGTCAATAATGTTGCGACATAAAACTACTTTATACATCATAAATTAATTTCATTTGAATCAAAAAAACCTATCATACCAATTATTTTTCACTCAACAATTGATCAAATCTTATGACAAGTGAAAAAAATCATTTTACTAGCAATTAATCATCGTCATTCGTTTACTCAACATTCATTTTTTGTGACTATACTATTCATCATTGATTATTAATCTTAATCTAACGATATTTTGTATCAATGACTAAATAAAAAGAATAATTTTGAACTTTATTGTCAATATGCTAAATTCAAAGTGAGAAAACATATATCTCACTTTTTTATTACAGCAATAATACTCTTCATATTACATACGTTTCCTTCTTACCAACAATCTGTTGGTACTTTTTAAAAATATTTTATATATTTATTTATTCCAGAGCTTTAGTCACTAACGACTATTTGTCTTGGATTGCCTGTCCGATAGCATACTGATTATGTTGTAACATACATCTACTCTTGTGGCTAGTATATGATTAGTTAGGATTTATGCGGCATTCAAGCAGTTGAGCGTAAGATCTCTGGGTCAAGCTGACCTTTTGTTCAGAACTACAGCTAGTATGAATTGTAGAGAAGATATAGGGCTATTGAACCTGCATCTGAGTAGTACCCCATGCTACAGAGTAGCTGAGAGATAGAAGAATTCTTTCTTCCTGTAAAGTCTTTCAATTTATTGTCGTTCAAATGAATCTTCTTGGCAATTTTTACTTTTTTTTATTTTCATATGCATAGCATTGATTAATAATGTCATCATTTTTTATACTTATGTCAATATGTCATGTTTTATCATAAGCTAAATCTTCTCAATTAAGTTGATCCAAAGTACAATAGTCAATTTCTTTATTATATTAATAATTATAATAATCATCTTATTTTGTAAGTCTAAGTCAAATTATTCATTTATAAAATTCTTCTATATAGTTATATATATGTATGAATTAGAAAAATAAAATTCGTAGAAGATATTATACACATATTTGTAATCATTCAGCTTTGCTTTTGTTATTTGATTTAAATTATAGAAAAGAAAAAAAAAGAGAAGAAACGAACTGGTTCTAAATGTTTATTAATATTATTTTGTATAAATTATTGTTGTGCACAACTTTGACGTTTATTATTAGTACGTTGTTCTTTATGGGCAGATAAATTTGGATCGGATGAACGACGTGCTAAATCAGGATTAGGTGTAATATTAATGTTAGCCATATGTAGCAGACGATGGAATGCACTAAGTACAGATTCACGTTCATGACATGTTGTTTCAATATGATCTATTGTCCATTGATCACGTACAATACTGTCAGCATAGTCTCGAGTTACTTCACGTAGATTAATATCAACATCACATTTATTTCCAACAACAACCATTGGTATAGAACTTGGTATTAAGTCATTTTTGACTTCAAGAACAAGTTGACGCATTTGTTGAGCTATACCAAATGAATAAGCATCATTAACAGCATAAACAATAAGAAATGCATCACCACGTGCTATAGCCAGACGTCTCATGACAGGAAATTCATCAATACCAGCTGTATCTAATATCTCCAGTACAATATGACGATCAGCAAGCGCAATATCTGCACTATACATTTCATCAACGGTTTCTTTATGATCCGTTACAAACTTTTCTTGTAAAAATTGTTGACATAAACATGTTTTACCTATAAAGAAAAATAAAGACAAAAAAAGAAGTTAATAACCAAAATAATTTAAATCTGCTTCTTCATATTTGTCTGTTTATATGTATATTATGAATGATAGTATATGAGGAAGTATGTTCATCATGTAAATACAACATTATCTGTAAGTTTTTTCGTTTTCCTGCTAAGAAAATTTGAATCAAATACTAACCAACTTTAGTAGCGCCAAGTACAACAATGCGAAGTTTTTCTTCACGATTATCATGATCAACCGTTGCTGCTCGTCTTGAATGTAAATTATGACGTTGATTTTGACCAGTTGCATAATTACGACGAGAAGTTGAATTTGTTGATATACGTGCCCTATCATCATTCAGTTTTAATGAACCTAATTCATCAGATATACCCGATGTCATCGATGTAAACGATCTGAGTTCTTAGCTAAGTTACTACGATAGAAAATAATGGTTAATGAGTGTATCAAGAATTCATAGACATACTAATAGGATGTGCGTGTTCAATCAACATGGACTGACATTTTTAAAGGAAAAGCTCATGACAATCAGACGAAATATATATATAAATAGTAATAGATAGAAGACACCAACTCAAGAAAAAAAAGCAGCTGTGAAAAGAAAAAAAATCTCTATTTTTTTTTTTCTTTCCGTTTTGTTTCGGTCTATCTGCTTGGTATGCAGCACATTTTTTTGTCGCTCTCTTCGTTCTTATTTTGCATGACATACATTAGACGATTGGAATTGACACGTTCAATTTCGTCTTATGTTTTTTCTCCTTTTTCATTTATAAATATATTACTTCAATTCTTGCATACACCTATTAATTCAATAAGCACTTACTTGTTACCTTACACAGTTATTAGATTTCCTTGAACAAAATAGTGAAAACAATTCGAGAAAAAAAAAGACCAAGAAAAAAAAAAGAATTTTTTTCTCTTTTTTTTTCGCAATTATCGTAACTTGCATGATGATGAAAAGATTATTCTAGTCAAATCATCTGGGATTCATTTTCTTGTTGACTAACAAATTCGGTAGTAAATGTCGAATGCGATTAGATAGTTGTCTTGTTTTCCCAGTCTTACATATAAAAAAACAAAAAAATGTAAATAGTATTACGTTTAGCAAAAGAAAATGTATAGAATCATTAAACAACAAATCTATAGAATTTCCTATACTTTAATTCATTTAGATGTGCTCTCACTCTCTCTCAATTTTATAATCGCATCTAGTCATTTAATGTCTTTTCTACTTCAACATAGTTCGTGTAGAGTGATATATAAGTAAGATAATTATCTATTTATTAATTATAGAGCAAAAAAGGAAATGATTGTCTTTGATGATATTCTCTCAGTTTTTCACACATGTTTCAACAAACATGTAACATTTTCTTGTCAGTTTTTTGTCTTTAATTATTTAAAAGAACAATAATTTCGGTATTTTGTTACTAAACACATATCTGAACAAAACCTAAGAAAAAGTATGAAATAAAAGAAGGATTATGTGATGTAAAATAAATTTACAGGTTTTTCTTTTCAGATATTCATTTACATATTTTCTTCATTCTGTTTTGTCAATAGCTCTTAATTGTGTAATAAATAATTATGTATTAAAAGAAAAATCATGCATGAAGGATTTTCTTGTTTCTACTCATATTACATATTAACTTATTATTATTATTATTTGAACATAAAAGACGAATAATATGTTTTCGATCAATTAAAACAGAATAGATTTGATCTTTCTTGTTTTAGGGAGATATACATATGATATTATTGATACTAATATTGCCACTTTTTTTTTCTGTCATCGTCTATGCATTTACGTGTCAAGATCATAATTTAATTAAAGAACAAGTGTCGTTGTTAATTATATGAAGTTTTCTAAAATACCAAAACAAAAAAGAAAAAACTCATTGTTTCTTTCTTCACTCTATAAAATTTGTCACTTGAAATAAAGAATATATTAACACTTAACAAAAAAACACGAAAATAATACATTTTATATGATTGCTCATAATAACTTGACTGATTCATAAGTTACATAGCAATATTTAATCATATTAACAAGTAAAAAAATTCTTGTTTTCTATTTTTGGTAAATATATATTATTGACGTTTGTATGATAGAAGAACTAAGTGATTTTTCATTTCGAAAAGAAACTTCGTGCATATTGATTATATACAAACAATAGTTACAATAATTAACTTGCGTGATGTAAATCGGAAATGTTGTCATACATCCTATATGATTAACGAGAAGCTATTTTCAGATTTCGCAGATAATTAGTTATTAAATATATGTTTATAAATTTATTTAGAAAATGGATATGAGAAAAAAATTGTTTCCTCTCTCGTGAGATTTGACAGTACAACAAAAGTAAATGTCCTGGAAAAGGTGAGCTTTAATTTTGATATAATCATCAATATTTTTCAAGGTTTGAATTAGTTGAAACATTTTCTAATATAATATTTCAACAACAATAGCAGAGCGATCTTGTTTAATAGTTACAAACTGAATGTATCTCTGAGAATAATGGTAAAGTATTGTTATTCATCTTGAATATTGTTAGTAAATGCATAAAAATTACATTAAAAAGAAAAGTAGAAATTAAATATTCATTCAATAAGAAAATTATCTACAATTCATCTTTATATTTTCGATCATAAATCTCAACATTACTCAGTTTTTTTATAAATAGGTTTTGTCTAAATCTGTTGTTGAATATTATTATACTAGTTAAAATATTTCTTAAAATGATGATATTTCATCTATATCTTGTTCAATAATATTTTTATCATCATCATCATCATCATCATCATCATCGTCATCTATTAATGATAATGAATCATCTGATTCTATTTTTAATTTTTGTTCCTTTGTTTGACTTTCATCTGAAGAATTTATTGATTCTTGATCGTCATCAACAACAATTGGATCAACTATAAATGGTAGAATAATAATTAATAAAATCGTTCCAATAATAAAACCAATTATAATCAATGCAATACATATGGAAAAAAATTCTTTCATTACATTATTTTGTTTTTGAATAAAATTCTATATTAATAATAATAATAATAATAAAATATTAACATATATAAATGAAATTCAATCTACCTTATCAATAGAGCATGAAATATTTGGTAAAAGATATAACACAATAAAGAGAATATTCAAACAGTACATTATTTCACTTAGTTGTCAAGTACATCACTATCGCGCATTGGTTTTTGTATTTCGAAAAACGATTTTTATAGAAAAACAAAGTAGTGTACGATTCATAATATTTGCTGATTTATGCAATCGATTACATTATATATTGAAGTTATTAAACATAAACTAAATAATAATTAATTAATTGATCAGAATAAGTAAATAATCTAGACAATAATGAAGCTTACCGAGGTTCATTTTTTCAAGTTCTTATGGATTTTTATGCGAAATGCCTAATTTATTTGAGTATCTGAAACAAAAAAAAATGAGGATAAAGGATAAGCTTTGATATGTCATATACAAACGAACGGTAAGTTTCAATATGTCGATAAATCTAATAAACTAAAACCCACGTTTGAGAAGTCGATTATCTGTTTTTGGACACATCTTGCTACTATCTCTTTCTTATCTACTAATCCTAATCTCAATAAACTTCTCTTGTCTACCTAATACAATCTTTTTCTAAAACCAGTTTAGTGGCTTTGTTTATATAGGATTGAAGTATAAATAGATGCGAAATACAATAAAAATTAGTTAATTAAATAAACTCAGATTCTACTATGTCTCGAGATTAGTCGGGATATTAAAAAGACAGTTAATTTCATCCATATGTATATCCTTTCTTTGCGTATTATTTGTTATTTTGAGTTTTATTTCAGATTAGAATAGTACATTTTGAGAGAATTGATTTCACTAACGACAGAACGTAATGTTATCTGAACCTGATGACAAAAAATTTACAATATCAACACAATATGATTTTCAGGTTTTTACAATGAATTCCTATAATATTAATTTAGCCATATAAAATCAAATGTATAACTTATTAAATCGTAAATTTGATTGTAGTTATATATTTCGTTCTATAATTATCCTTCATTGATTGATTTTTATTTGTTATTTGGTTAATATTCATTAACTTTGACACAATATATATGCATATATACACCTATAAAAGTTTCAATATTCATATGAAGACAGTCAAATCTCAGTAATCGGAATTAATCTATTGTAAACTAAGTAAGATTCAGACGATATTTGAGATTAAAATATATTATATAATCTATCATCAGTAATTTTGTAAACATAACGGTAAATTTTTCAGATATAGAATTATTTGAATCGCTAATGTATGTATCACGATGATGATTCCGAACACCGGAAAATGTAATAAAAACGACCTAATTATTACCAGGAAAAATTGAAAAGCAATATCCTTCATTGAAAAAACTGTCAGTTTTCATTGCCTTCATTTTCTATTTAACCACCATTCTTTATGCATCAGTCATGAAATTGAATGTTCAAGACCTAGTTTCTTTTTTCTTTGTTTCAACTCTGACCTGGAAAAAAACTATATATCAGCGAATATTCTTAACGGATTCGTCAAATGATACTAACCACCCTATTGAATCTAATTTTGAATTATTAACAGAAACGTTACAAATCGTAACACAAAAAACGAAAGCTTCCAAAACACAATGTAAAACTCTTTTTCGACAGTAAGTTCATATAATCCTTTGACTGTCGACATAAGAGAAGGAAGAAACGATTTTTCAGAAAATTTATTTCTTTTTATGGAACAATCCTATAGCATGCCTTAATAAAATGATGATTTGGGACGCAGATGGTGTCTAAGGTTTGTTTTGTACGCAAATACTTTTGAAAAACATACATTAGGAATGATTACTTTAGTTCTTGCGAAGAAGAGACTCTTGACGCATATATGCGTCGGTGACAGCCAAATGGATAAGTTGATTGCCTTTTTTTTCCGTACTAGTAGTGCTTCTTAATCGTATTGAATAAATTATATTGTTCAATATCCTGCCATTTATTCGATGCTGTTTTCTCTTATTGAATCTATTATCAGGAAATAACCTATTGACAAATCAACAAAAACAACAAACAAAAAAAAAAGGATTTGTTCATCTTCCTAAACTTTTATTCTAAAGAAAAAATAAAGAAGACAGGACTGGTAAAAGAAAAAGGAATAGTAATAATAATAATTGTCTTCTTAATCGAACATATATTCAATGATATTTCGCCCATTTATATTGTTCTAGAAAAAAAAATAGTGTGCATATAATAAGGAATATTTTAAATAGCAATTTTATACTTCTATCAGGCATAGCAAAGAAAACAAAATTAATTAATGAAGCAACAACAAATATTTGTGTATACCAAATAAGATTTGGCTTTTTATTATCCAAAAAAGCACGATAAAATTTCCAAAAAGCTAAAAAAAAATTTATTTGAATTTCTTTCATTTAATTTCATCATAATAAAACTTACTTCGAATACCACCCTGATATATTCCCATTGGAGTTTTATCTCGTCGAGCAATCCATGCTGGAATATCAACTAATTTAACATCACCAAAGTGAAGATCACCTTAAAAATAAAAACAAATAGGAAAAAACTATATAATTTTTGTTTTTTGAGAAACAAACGTTTTCCATAATAACGCCATGGACAATAAGGTCCATGTACACGTGGATTAAAATCTCGTGGATATTCATTAAATACTTTAAGATATTTAGCCAAATTCAAATATTGTAATGGATCCCATCGAGCTGTTATACGATCTGGATTACCCGGAATAATTGTTTCATTTGTTTTACTGTACCAACTATCATTCATGTTGAACAGTTCGTTTTAAAGAAGTAAAAAACAAAATGTTTTACTGCGAAATCCATCGTCGCCATTATTTTGGTTGTGTATGCATGCTTCTTTTTTCACTGCCAATCAGAAGATAAAAGCGCTATGTTCTATGTATAAATAATAATAAACAAACGAAAATATTAACCTCTAAAAAACAAACTACCCTGTCAAAAGAAAGGAAAACTTTGTTGTTATCATTTACAATCGTACAGATAACATGATATACCCATGTGAGTTTATTTAAGCTTGTGAAATGTGACATTGTTGAATATTAGTTCATGTAAGTTAAGTTTTATTTATTACATTATCTCGTCATTTCCATTTTATCAAGTCGCTTTAGAATTCGTTTTAGTAAATTCTATTACTCATATTTAGATTTGAGAAAAGAATAGATTTATCTTGATGATGTTTCATCTGAATGATTTTAATAATAAAGAAAACGTTTGGAATGACAAAAAAAATTGGAATAAAAGAGCCAAAAAAAAAGCACGTCTGTCAACAATAAATGCACAACACATAGGAAAATATACACACACATAGGCGCACAGTGTTGAGCACATCAATAAACAACAACAACAACAAATAAATTCTTTTTTGTTTAAAAGCATTTTCTGTGAACAATTGATGGACCTGATTCATCATATTCTTGTTTCGAAATCCACATTTGTTGAAATGTTGATAATGATGCTAAAATTGAACCACCAATCCATACAGAATATTTTCGTTCAGGTGGTGCTATAATTTTTATTTTCATTGTTGATGGTGCCAATGATGTTATTTCTTTTTGCATACGATCAGCAATACCTGGATACATTGTTGTACCTGTGTAATAATATTAATAATTAATAAGTAAATTGATAATTTAAAATTATCTTACCTCCAGAAAGAACAGTATTAGCATATAAATCTTTACGAATATCAATATCGCATTTCATAATCGAATTATATGTTGTTTCATGAATACCTATTATGAATAGACGAATCATGATCAAATGTATAAAAAAAAAACAAACAAAAATTATTATTTTAACTAACCAGCTGTTTCCATGCCAAGAAAGCTTGGTTGAAATACAGCTTCTGGACAACGAAATCGTTCATTACCAATAGTAATGACTTGTCCATCGGGTAATTCATAACTCTTTTCTAATGATGATGATGATGCAGCTGTAGCCATTTCTTGTTCAAAATCAAGTGCAACATAACATAATTTTTCTTTTATATCTCGAACGATTTCACGTTCAGCTGTTGTTACAAATGAATAACCACGTTCAGTTAATATCTTCATTAAATAATCAGTTAAATCACGACCAGCTAAATCAAGACGAAGTATTGCATGTGGTAATGCATATCCTTCATAGATTGGTACTGTATGTGTAACACCATCACCTGAATCAAGCACAATACCAGTTGTACGACCAGATGCATAGAGAGAAAGTACAGCTTGAATAGCAACATACATTGCTAAATTAACAAAAAAAACACACAAAAGAAATTTAATAATTAAAATTTGATTTAATTGAATTTAATTTTGTTTACCTGGTGTATTAAATGTTTCAAACATAATTTGTGTCATTTTTTCACGATTTGCTTTTGGATTAAGTGGTGCTTCCGTAAGAAGTACAGGATGTTCTTCAGGTGCAACACGAAGTTCATTATAAAATGTATGATGCCAAATTTTTTCCATATCATCCCAATTAGTAACAATACCATGTTCAATAGGATATTTTAATGTAAGAATACCACGTTTTGATTGTGCTTCATCACCAACATAAGAATCTTTTTGTCCCATACCAACCATAACACCTTGATGACGTGGTCGACCAACAATAGATGGAAAAACAGCACGTGGAGCATCATCACCAGCAAATCCAGCTTTACACATACCACTACCATTATCAATAACAAGTGCTGCTACATCATCGTCACACATGTTTGCTGTTTATTATTAGAAATAAGAATGTTGTTGAATGAAAATTGTGTGTAATGTGTAAAATTGCTAGAAAAGTTGTTGTCTGAAGTGAAGATAGCTTGCTGTTTTGTTTCGACTTATATACCAAGCACGGACGAATCTAGTGTTCCTTCTCTCTCTCTCTTCTTATTCATCGTCGGCTTGAAATTCTATTTGTATTGCCATATAAGGACATTCGAGGCGAACGTTCGAACCAATGAAGAAAACGCAACGGATTGAAGAACGCAAACGAGGATGAAGAGTGTGCATACACATACGAAGACAAAGAGTGTGAGCTAGTCTTTAGTCATGTTCGATAGTAAAAGACGTGCTTGCTTACGGTAGAACGACGACAAAGATGGCCATTGTATAGAAAGATTACCCATCACATCATCATCAACAAAAACACGAAAATAAAATAGATAACATGTAAATGAATAAATATTATGAAAAACAAAACATTATCATCTATATTCTTATTTAATTGAAAAAGAAAATTCTCGAAGAAATTTTAATGCCGGTTTAAACAGAATGTATTTGTTTTTTCAGATTAAACTTCATTAAATAAAAATACAGATAAAGAAATGGGTATTCTTGAAAAAATTGCCGATATTGAAAAAGAGATAGCAAGAACACAAAAAAATAAGGGTACAAATATGACAACCTATATAATTTAATACATAAAAAAAGATGTTACTTTCTAGCAACTGAATACCATTTGGGTTTATTGAAAGCAAAATTAGCAAAATTTCGTCAAGCATTACTAGAAGGTGATGCTAAGAGTGGTTCTGGCAAGGTTTGATATAATCAATAATCTTAAAGAAATGATTTCTTTATTTTTTCTATGAATAATTCTATAGGGTGAAGGTTTTGATGTTGTCAAATCCGGTGATGCACGAATAGCTTTAATTGGTTTTCCATCAGTCGGAAAAAGTACATTATTAAGCACAGTCACACGTACGGAATCAACCGCTGCTTCATATGAATTTACAACATTAACGTGTATTCCGGGTGTAATACAAGTCAGTATTTCATAAAGAAAAAAAGAAAACACTAATGTGATTATATTATTTATTTGATTTTTATATTTTTAGTATAATGGGGCTGAGGTATGTGTAATAGAATATCGAATCATTTCGAGAACTTCTTAAAATTCAACTATAGATTCAATTACTCGATTTACCTGGTATCATTGAAGGCGCCGCTCAAGGTTTGTGTTCAAAATTCTTTTTCGGAAAGGTAATATACGTGTTTAAATAATAGGCAAAGGTCGAGGACGTCAAGTTATTGCTGTAGCTCGTACTGCTGACATGGTTTTGATGATGTTAGATGCAACCAAAGGTGAAAAGCAAAGGTAAAACTATTTCTTATTCTTCAACTTTAACATTAATATAAACAACTACACAAATAAAGATATTTACTATACTGAAAAAAAAGATAATGTGATCAGTAAACATGCTTGTCATTCATGATATTTAGCTTATTTTTCTCTATTAAATAAAAAAAAAAAGATTTTTTTTTATTTAATAGAGAAATTCTTGAAGATGAACTTGAAAGTGTTGGTATTCGATTAAATAGACGTAAACCAGAGATATATTTTAAGGTATTAATGTAAGTCAAAAAATTGATATGAATCTATATTTAATTATAATAAACATAGCCAAAAAAAACTGGTGGTATTAATATAACAAGTACAGTACCAATGACAAAATGTTCAGAAAAAATGATTCAATTAATACTTCATGAATATAAAATGTTTAATGCACAAGTTCTTTTTCGTGATGATTATACAAGTGATGAATTTATTGATGTTGTTGTTGGTCGACGTGTTTATATGCCATGTCTTTATGTAAACAAAAAAATAATAATTTGTAATTATGTATAGATTTATTTATTTATTTATAGGTTTATAATAAAATTGATCAAGTATCAATTGAAGAAGTTGATCGACTTGCTCATTTACCAAATTCAGTTGTTATTAGGTTTGTAAAAACAAAAAAATCATAGTTGTTTATTTATATGATTTATTTTAGTTGTAATATGAAATTAAATATTGATTATATGCTTGAAAGTATATGGAAATTATTAAATTTAATACGTATTTATACAAAAAAACGTGGTGAAAAACCTGATTTTGAAGGAGGATTAATTATTCGAAATGCAACAACTGTTGAACATGTCGTAAGTTTAATAAACATTTTTTTCATTTTTAAAGTTTTCTATGTATTTGATTTAGTGTCGTATTGTTCATCGAACATTGGTTGATCAATTTAAATATGCACTTGTTTGGGTAAAAAAGAAAACATTTCATTTTGTTCCTTATGGATATTGTTTCTATCTCTCGGGTTTTAATGTTATTTAAACTACAGATTCTAATTTCCTTAGAGTAATAGGAATTCTTTATTTATGATTAGAAAACGTATTAAATAATTTAAAATAATGATTTGTTTTTTTTTTTTGGAATTTCCTTTTTAGGGTACTTCAGTGAAATTCTCGCCACAACGCGTTGGTCTTTCACATGTTTTACAAAATGAAGATGTCATTTGTTTAGTGAAGAAAAAAATTACCTAAAAAAAAAAAAATTGTTGTTTTTTTTTTGTTTTTCAACAAAATAACATTATTAAAAAAGACACGAATTCTTTTTGTTCAATTTCTTATGCATGTTTTCAGATGACTGAGGATGAAAATGAACCATTATTGGATGATGATAATCGTCATGTATGCAATTTAAAGCAATTTCCTTTTACACATATGTTAAAGCATTCTTTTTTTTTGTAGCATACGTACACTTCTCTTCATTCTTATATAACAACAAACGATTCTCATCCACGCACCTCTTCAAGTACAACTTTTGCTACCGGTGAAAAACTATTATCTGGTCATTATGAATCACTTGATTATGAATGTGATGAAAGTGAAATCGCTCATATGGAAGAAAAACGCTTAGGTTATCAACATGCACGTCGTTTAATTATATTAAAATGGTTAATTATGTTATTAATTGGTATATGTACAGGATTAATAGCTGTATTTGTTGATTTTGCAGTAAAAAATTTAACAAAATTTAAATTTAGTTATGTACAAAATAAACTAGATACATGTTTATCTGAACATTGTTTATTTAAACCATATTTAACATGGATTAGTATAAATATAAGTATGGTTCTAGTTGCAGGTTTTCTTATTCTTTGGGAGGTAATTATTTTAAATAAAATTAATCAATCAAATTTTTGAATATTTTTATTATTAAATAGCCAGTTGCACGTGGTTCAGGTATTCCGCAAGTAAAATGTTATCTTAATGGTATAGCAATTCCACATGTACTTCGTTTGAAAGCATTGATTGCTAAAGTCTTAGGTGTTATATTTGCTGTATCTGGTGGATTAGCTGTTGGAAAAGAAGGACCTATGTGAGAAATAGTAATAAATTCTTGAGTATCGGTAAAATATGCTCTGACCCACTTGAAGTGTCGTTTTACTTTTGACATATGCCAGCCCACAATGCTTGAAATTTTGAGTCTATTGAACCTTACAAAAACAAATATTTGAAAAATACAATTCGATATAACTGTGCTATGCATTTTGAACTGATTCGAACTATCAGATAGTTAGCATAACTTCATTTAACATAATTTTTCTGAACATCTGTTTGAGCTTTTGACTTCGGATGGAATACAACAGACTTAAAAGCTCAAGTTTTTTTGGACTTTTGTAAGTCTTAAATAGAACGGTACTCAGCGTATATTTTACTCATACTCTGAATCGTTTGAGAAAATATTTTCTCAAGAATATATATATTTTTTTGTTAATTGTAGGATACATTCCGGTGCAATTATTGCTGGTGGAATTTCACAAGGAAAAAGTAGTTCCTTAAACATTGATTTCCATGTAAATAAGATATTAAAGAAAATAATAATAGAAACAAGAGTAAATTTTAAATTTTATTTCTTAATTAGATTTTGAAACATTTTCGTACTGATAAACATAAACGAGATTTTGTATCAGCTGGTGCTGCAGCTGGTGTTGCTGCAGGTAAAATTATATTTTAAATTAAATAATTATATAAAAGATTTTGTTTAGCTTTTGGTGCACCTGTTGGTGGTGTTTTATTTGCTTTAGAAGAAGGTGCAAGTTTTTTTAATCAACAATTGACATGGTTTATTGTATGTTATGATTAAATCGAAAATAAATCATTGTTTTTTTATTTGGTTTTTATATTTAGTTTTTTGCATCAATGGCATCAACATTTACTTTAAACTTTGTTATGAGTGCAATTGAGGGTCATTTTGGTGATTTATCATCACCAGGTTTAATCAATTTTGGACTTTTTAAAGTATTTAAAACAAAAATCTATTTTTCAATAAATAGTAATGAATATGTTCTTTTTCTTTTTAGGATACTCCATATATGTGGTTTGAATTACCTTTATTTATTATAATAGGCTTTATTGGTGGTATATTTGGTGCTTTATTTAATCAATTAAATTTACGTTTAACTAAATTTCGACATCATTATATAAATAAACCTTGGTTATCAGTTATTGAATTGATACTTGTTGCAGCAACAACTGTTGTTATAGCTTTTCTATTAATTATTGGAACAATGAATGAATGTCGACCGATAAAAACACAATTAGAACTTAATTCACCTACAATACAATTATATTGTCCTGATGGACAATATAATATCATGGCAACACTTGTTTTTAGTACACCTGAACAAGCTGTACGAAATTTATTTCATAATGAAATAGGTAAAAATTCAAAACGAAAAAAAAAAAATGAATAAAAATGAATTTTATTTAGGAACATATAATCCATGGAGTTTATTAGTTTTTTGTATTATTTATTTTTGTTTAACTTGTTGGACATATGGAGTCATTGTTAGTTCAGGTCTTTTTATTCCAACTCTTTTAATTGGTGCTTCATGGGGTCGATTAGTAGGAATTATCATGCATACAATATTTCCATCAAGTGTTAAAGTTAGTTTTTAACTTTTTTTGTTTTTTATTACTTACTTTCTAATATCTTTTTTTTTTAAATAGTATTTTGATTCAGGCAAATATGCTCTATTTGGAGCTGCATCACAACTTGGTAAATCTTATTTTTATAAAATAAAACAATTTTTGTTTTTTGGTATTTCCTATTCAGGTGGTACCATGCGTATGACAATAAGTCTTGCAGTCATTTTAATTGAAGCTACTGGTGATATTGTACTTGGTCTACCAATTATGATTGTATTAACAGTAGCTAAACTTACTGGTGATTATTTTAATGAAGTAAGAATATTTGATATTTAAGTTATTTCATAAAAATTAATTTATTTATTAAAGGGAATTTTTGATATACATATTGCTTTACAAAGTTAGTTTACAAATAATTTTTGAGAAAATGTGTTTTTTTTAATTTTCTAATTATTATATATTAGGTGTACCATTTCTACCATGGCAATCTGAAGTATTTACATCACAACTTTCAGCTTTGTGAGTGAAAAAAAAAATTTTTTTCTCTTTGTATTTATTCATATCTGATTTTATCTTAAATAGAAGTATTATGTCAACACCAGTGATTCAACTAAAAACTATTGAAAAAGTTGAAAATGTTTATCGTATTTTACGTAATGAAAGTCATCATGGTTTTTCAGTTGTTGATCATCATACAGATGAAGTTTGAATACTCTTTTGTTTTTTAATATTAAAGTTATTCAAAAAAATATGTTTATTTTTTAGACAAATAATCATCGATCTGGTACATTTCAAGGCATTATTTTACGTCATCAACTTATAACAATTTTAAGAAAACGAGTTCGTTTATGAAATAAATTATTATTATTTTAATTTGACATTTTCTTTTAGAATTTTATTTCATTAAATGATTGTCTTCGGGATTATTTAACAATGGATGATTTTCGTGAAAGCTATCCACGTCATCCATCAATTGAAGTAAATATTAAAAAAACTATTAGCGCACAATCCTTGCGAAGTTTAAATGTGAAACACAATGTTATTAATTACAGGGAGATTGCTTTATTCTATTTATTTTCGGACATTTTTCTTCATCCTCATGTTACTTAATTTTTCAGGAATGTAATACTGAATTTAACTAAATATTATAACGAGACATTTCATATACAGTAATGGAGCGTATATCAATAATGTTTATCACAGTCTGTGAGAGAGCAGGAGGAGAATATAGTAGGCATTTTTGAAATAGATCAGGCGGATGTGAGTTTCTTTTTTTTTTTTACTTAGACCGACCTATTTTTTGTGCTAAATATAGCTTCCTCATCTGTCGAATGTCAATATAATCTGTAAAAGTCACATCCGATAAAAAGAATATTGTTTACTGAAAAATCACTATGAAAGACTTTTACCCTGGATATATGTGAGAAAAAAAAATTTTTTTCAAGAAGACAAATCGATTATAAATCACTCGATATAGATTCCAAATATAAAATTAGCATTTTAATAAGTGTTTTTATGTCAAGAAGAATAATATTTACTTTGAAAACCTATAGCTTAGTTGTGGAACGCTTACCGGTGTTATGAACAAATGACTTTTCTCGAATCTCAAACATATAAAATCGAAAGTCGTTTTTTAAGAATCGATAGAGTAAAAAAAAACATATATGTAATTTTCTTAGAAATGTTTTCTTTATTGTGTTTTTAATCTATAATAAAAAGAAAGGTTCCTAATCTTTACTAGCAGCAGTTTTCAACGAGATTTACCGACGAATGTTAACAAAAGAAACCAAGAATTTTATGTCATGAAATAATACATAGTTCAGAGTAAGTATAGCCATAATGAAATCATTAGAAAGTACATTTTCAATTTTCACCCTAATACTTCAACTCTTCTTCTAAATCGTGTTTCACAAAAAATTAAACTTAGAATTAAAAAATTTGCTTTTTGTTTTTAGAGTATTCATTTAACGGATGAAGAACGAGAACTTTATTGTGATTTAAGACCGTACATGAATTTAGCTTATACTGTTTCACACGTAAATATAAGATTTTAAAATTGAATTTCTTTAATTTAATCAATTGGCTTTGAATGTTTTTTTTTTCTGATTGTAGCGTTCAACACTTCCACGTATATTTTCGATGTTTCGAGGTCTTGGTTTACGTCATTTAGTTGTTGTTAATGATAAAAATGAAGTTGTTGGAATGATAACGCGAAAAGATTTAGCTCGATTTCGTATGAAACATAAAAAAGGTCATACATCAATCGAAGAACTTGCTATATCACATTAATTTGTGTTTCTTGCAATACGCTCATACTGTCTGTCTTCACTTTTTTTTTTTTTTAATAAGAAACGAATGCTAAATATATGTTATTTAAGTTTTTCTTCCCTTTTGTTATCATGTTTATATCGTCACGATAAATCAAGAAAAAAATTTGTTTTTTTTTTTTTTTCTGTAATGTGTTTAATCATCTATTTTTTGTGTTTTTTGCATGGCAATATTTAAAAATTCAGATACAATAAACTGGTGGCATTTTTGTATACATTTCACATGAAAAAAATCAATAATAGAATTGTTAGTTTCGGTTATTATAGTTTGGATCTAAAATGAAATATTATTAATTTTATTGATATAAAAATGAAAATTCGGTATCTTTTAGTTTTAAAATACTAAACAAAATACACATATCTCCGATAAAAAGATATACATTGTAAAAATTTGTTTTTTTTTTCAGTTTCACAAAACAAAAAATATTCAATCATTTATGCAAATAGTTAAATAATGCTTTACTCTAATCATTATGAGAATATACAGTATGTCCGAAAAGTCCTTTGTAAAAATAAGACAATTTCGAATACTATAACTGTTAGTAAACGGCAAACGTTTTATAAGAAGAAAAAAAAGATATTCATCAAAACACGAGTATTTAACACTTTTCTTGATTCAACACGAATAAATTTTAAACTAGTCTTCTCTAAGTCGCGATCAAGATTGAAACTGGAACTGAAAAACTATGCTCCGGCATTTTTCTATTTATAATGCATTTAAGTTATGATTGAAAAAATATCTTCTGAAGTTTTCTTTAAGGAATTATTAACCTTAACTTTTATTATTTATTCGTGATTAATTGTTTTTAGACTTAAATCATTTCTATTTCTAAGCTAATAGACATTGTAAAAATTATTCAAAATTAATAATTTTTGATACAACTATCAAGAAGACTCTACTCAACAGTTTTTTTTTAAAACATATAAAATTTAGTAAAAATTTCTAATTTTGTCTTTTTATTAAAACGATTCTATTTATGTCAGAAGATGTAATATTATCAAGACCAGATGAAGAACCAAATTAAATAATTCCAACTTGCTTTTATGTAAAACATATCGTGTATTGATGATATCAATCCATTAAAAAAGAAATCATATAGATTTTATACTCACGATGTCAATTGATTCATATACAAATATCTGGGAATATAGGGAAATTTATTGTTTTGACTGAGAATTATATGTTCCACTTGGTAATCTTATTGATTTAACACAACTAGATGAAGTTATCGAAATATATGTTCGAGATATAAATGGATGTGAAGAAATTCTTCATCATAGAATCCCAATTATTTAATCAGATCAATCATTTACGTCACTTAATGTTCATTTGATCTATCAAAACCATCAATGTTCAAAAACATATCAATATATTTTTTGTTAATATAAGAATTTTACTTGGACTTAGACAACAATTTGAATTTGATCGAATAAAAAGTAAATATGGGTTATTACTATGAATTGTAAATGTGAACATAAGAATCTAGATATTTGAGCAGATGGCAAATTGTTTGTACCATTTTAAGAAAAGAAAAAGAATGAAAAAAAAACGTCTGAATTTTTAATATGATAAATAATATATTGTATTATAACATACAAGAGGAAAAATTAAAAAAGATAAATTTTTTCCACCTATTACTATCAAAACGACTGCGAATGGAAGTTCTGCACCGTGAGCCGATTGTTTTTGAATCAAAACTACGTGCACTATATAGATCCTAATCAATTGTGCATGTACCAAAAAAAAGTGTTGAAATTCTTAGCTTATTGCTGTGGAAATACTACATTTTTACAGTATTTTTAAGTCAATGTTGTGGTTCACCTTGAAAACGTTCGGAAGACTCATTTTCATATTACAACTTGAAACTTTGCATAGAGACAAACCTAAATGAAAATGATTTTTTGTGAAAATATCACATCTTCTGAGTTGGTTCTAGACTAAAATAAAACCATCGAGTCTACCAGTATATATGAGCGACATAAAAAAACACATGCTTTTATCATTGTCATATCTTAGACAACTATTCTCGTTAATTCTTCTCTCGATGCAAAGTTTTGAATCAAAATTCAAATATAAGTTTTCCTGCTGTTCTCCCGAGTAGCAGTACGACATTGACTTCAAAATATCGTGCAAATATAGTATCTCCGTTACAATAAGCTAATTGCCCGAAATCTTTTCAGCTAGCTTCGACTCAAAAGTCATTCATCAATTCGCAGACTTATAGATATGTAACATCATTTAAACTAAAGAAGTTTTCAAAATTTGAATGACATTTATAAAAATACAATTTATTATCAACGAGTACTAATCTTGGAAGTTTTTCTAAATATAATTATCATCTTATATATAACATATTTACTTTGACCTTCGTTATGAAACATATTTGCCTTTGATAGTCTCGCGTGACACATTTTAACTATACTTTCATTGTTTTTTTGCGTGCACTATACATTCCCAGATGCTCGGTTTTTGTTTCAACAATAGTTAATCATCATGATTGGATAAAAATGTGTGACAATCAAATTTTCAAGTTGTACTTCAGACTTGTTTTCTCTCAAGTAATACTACCATTCTTTTAAAAGGTTTTATCTTTCATTAAATGATTTTCATTCAACATTGCTTCGAGCACTTTTAAATGACTTCTTCAATTATAGAGTCTATTTTAATATTAAATGACAAAAATCAAACAATAAATGTATATAATAGTGTCAATAATTTGCTATAATTAAACATACTTTTTAAGTTCAATTGAGAAGAAAACAAAGTTTGAAAAATCTTTGAACACGATATAGTAGTAAAAAATCAATCTATTAGATTTTGTCTGCCAAATATCTTAAGATTTCTCTAAGGTAAATTCTTGATATATATATATATTTTTTTTTTTGTGTAATATGAGGAACTAAGTAGGGTTGTGCCACTTATAAAAATAAAACATAAAGCTACAATAAACATGAAATGCAATATATACAGAGAAAATAATGAAATTTTAGAATGTTTACGAAGCATTCAGAACAAAATCTATTCAATACTTCTCTATTATGTTATAAGACTCAAAAAGTATTTCATTACATTTCTTGAGAGATGATTAAAATTTTTTGAAGACTCCTCAGTTTTTTCTATTTCAATAAGAAGAATGCATTAAAAGCATTTAATGAGGAAAAATCGTAGATAGTTATAAAAGAAAAAAATTTATACATTTTTTTTTGTTTTACATTAATTACATTTTTATAGAGAAACTCAATTGAGACTAAAATCGGAATTCCTGTTTTTGCACTCAGCCAATGTTGAACATTAGTTCGCAATAATCGTTGCATTGTCAATAATAAAAACCTCAATAATAATATTGTTATACAATCCTATATAGATATGTTCAAGAAAAAACAAACCATTAATAAATTAAAATACAAAATATTTTGGAAGGCTTTGATGCTACAGAGCTTTCTCAGATTTCATATCGATATTCAATGCCGAACTTCATCAACAACTTTCTAACATATATGAACATCATAAAATCGAAGTGATATCCTCTTTTCTTTTTTGCTCTTGTGATCATATCGCAACATGTTCAATTTGTTCCTTTTTTTGGGTATAGTTCAATATATTCAATCATAATGTGAACCAATCATAATTTAGCAGCACATACTCATCAAACATTGATGGCAGATGACTAAAGTTTATAACTTTTTTTTTTCGTTTTTGTTGTTTGAATATTCGAAAAAAAAGAAAAGAAGAACGATACTTGCCACAAAAAATGTTATTTACGTTCATCTTAGTAAATTCAATTATTATTCAATGTGTTCAATCATATTTTGATGATCTTCTTTTCGATATTCAACATCATAATCGTTTTAATCCTTACATGTATAGTCTTCCACCTATTTTTCACGTATGAATATATATTTATTTATTTTTTTGTTAGTAATTTTCTTTTGTGGCTTCTTTTTTTCAAGGTTGATCGACATACTCAATATGGATATGTAAGAGGTACAAGTTATCATGTTGATTCACAAGATTCATTCTATCCGAAATATATTAGTGTTTTTCTTGGAATTCCATATGCTCGACCACCTGGTAAAAAAAATTTTAAAAGTTTTTTTTTTTTCAATATTTATTTATATTGTTTTTTGTCTCTAGTTGGTCTCTATCGATTTAAGGTAACATTCTTCTTCTTTTTTATTATCAATGTACTTGTTAGTATATTTAATTAATTTTTTCTTGTTAAGCCTCCATTACCACCTGATCCTTGGGATACAAAATTTTTCCTTTATGATGCAACTTATTATCGACCATCATGTTTACAACCAGCAAGTGAACAAGAAAAAATTCGTCAATATATTCCAAATTTTCCTCCGTCAAATTTTAGTGAAGATTGTCTTTATTTAAATATATTTACACCAAATGTAAGTTCATTTTTATTTGTTCATTATATCAAAAAAGTTTTTTTTTCTTTTTTTGTTAATAGAGAACTGATCGTTATATGCCTAAATTACCTGTTATTGTGTTTTTACATGGGGGAGATTTTATTGGAGGAAGTTCACAAATTTATAATGGATTTGTTTTAGCTCAACGAAATGTTGTTGTTGTCACTTTTAACTATCGACTTGGTCCATTAGGTATAGATTGATTTAATGATTTAGAAAAAAAAAAAAAACAGAAATTCTCTACGAATTATTTATCTGAAGGTTTTTTGAGTACAAAAACATTAAATGGTCGTGGAAATTATGGTCTTTTTGATCAACGTATGGCATTAAAATTTGTCTATGATAATATACGAGAATTTAATGGTGATCCAGAAAATATAACTGTTATTGGTCATGAAGCTGGAGCAGCTAGTATTGGTTTACATTTATTATCTCAAAATACACCTTGTATGTTTAATAGATAAATTTTTTTTTTGAAGAAATTTTTTTGTTTTTTAATTCAAGTTTATTTTCGTCGTGCTGTTATGATGAGTGGAAGTG